TACCAATATTTCCTCCTCTATGTGAGTCGTAGCCTGTGTACAGTTTGATTATCTCCTTTCTGATTCAGAGGAAACAACAATTAAAGAAAATGTACTTACTGCTTGTTACAATCTCAATCTATATAGAGGATATCCTATGATTTACAAATGATATGATTTTTATCCCAAAAGGGGTAACTATTTCTGCAAGAGAGAGCACAGCAAGAGAGTGGATAAAATTGAATCATGAGTAAATCAAGTATGTTCTCAACATAGAATTGAATAATATGAAGAAAAATTGAACTGAAAGTGAAGTTAAACAAGAAATATAAAATATCAATCATAAAATTGAAAAGATCAAATAAAGATGCAGAAAAATGCCATACAAATATTGACAGTTGAAAAAATGGAAGGTTTCAGCAGCTTAGGCCACAGACGAGGTGCCGTCATATTACAACAGTAATTGTGACAATTATGACCCCATGGAAGACTTGAGCTGCTGTAGGTCCCAAAATAATTGATACAGTATACTGTATATAGAAGGTCTCCATTATACAGAACCATTAATTCAGCAAAAAAAAGATCTGAACAAGATAGAGAAGGTGAATCCAAAGGTGGGGAAGTTGTGGACAGTCAAAATGGATTCCAAGTTGGCACAGAAAGCCAAATCAATAATGCAGTTGATACCAGAGCTTTGCAGAGCATATTCATTCATACTCCGCAAAACATCAACCTCTTTACTCCTTACTACTCTAACGTCTTTTGGACTTATTTCAATATACTAATCATCAGGCAAAATCAAATTCCTGTACACAACCAGCCACATATACTGTCAAATCCTATGGCATGGAAAACATCTGTTACTTGTCCCAAAGGGCAGTTGCAAAAACAAGGAAGAACGTTAATCGAAAAAAAATCAAATCAACTGAAATAGGTATAGATAAAACTGCATACTGACTGTGGCTTTGTATGTAAAACTAGTCATATTATAGCTTGTGCATTATCTTTTGTACTTGGCTTGTATTCCAATTGTACTAGTTCATGGTAATGGTTTAAGGTTACTCGCAACAGTGAAATAGATATTCAGGGCCTCATTGCATTACATAATAATTATCACTTACCTTGTTACTATACATGGTTGAATTTGTGAATATACCTTCCAAAGAAGATTATGATTACCAGGTGGGTAGATTTCTTTTGCAATATTTGATGTTGACTTTAGCGCATCAATTATTGTGAAGAAAATTGTGCAGCATTTATTTGAGTTTAAAAAAATAAAAGGGATCTTTGTTCGGAAAAAGTAGATGGGGTCTGGAGTATTCCAGCAGTAGTTAAAACATGTGCAAACACAGTCACAATTTACTTGTGGGTTTGAAATACTTTTACCTGCATAAATTAAATACAGATCAGTATGGGCAGAAGTGGAAAGAAGAGGGATAGAAAGACAGGATTTGGAACAAGATTGGTCTCTGATTTCCGGATCCGGATTTTAACGCTAGTGCATCCCGCAGGATAATATTCTTCACATTTCTTCTACCTTCAGTCGTCCAAGGGTCTAGTCCTCAACCAATAAAAGGGAAACAAGTCCCAAGTACTGATCTTAGGAGATCAAGTAGAACAGTTAATAAAAAAATATATATTGAAAACAGTAAAGCATCAATGATGTTACAGACACTTCAGTTCTTCAAATGTAACGTTTATTTACATTAGAGTACATAAATTATTTTGCAGAGACACTTCACTGTTTTTAAATGTAAACAATATTTATAGTGTTATATTTATGTGTATATTTCGGTATCAGTTGAAATTAACTTGTAATACTTTTTATGTATGTCATTTGTGGTTTTAATCTTCGAGACTTCAAAGAGGAGATATTATGATATCCCCCAGTATTTCTCAATATACCCTATATTTCGTTCAGTGTTTATTGCCTCATTCTGGAGTAAGCAATAAATTGTATTTCAAACTATATTTCTAGTCTGTTCTAAATCTGGACGATAATCTAACAAACAGAACTTAAAAACAGTTAAAATCTACACTTCTAACCCGTTCAATTTACATATCAATAAGATCATGTCTGGATAAAGTTGGGAGGAGACAATGGTGGTGGGAGTACTAAAATGACTTTTCAAGTTGTAAACACATTTCTATTTGCAATGTTTTGTGGACCTGATAGCAAGGAAAATTTAGAAGCAGTTCTAAAACTTTGGGCTTGAAATTCAAAATTCAAAGACTATGAAATACAAGTGTAGATTGCTCCTGTGTGGAGACCATGCATTTTTAACCAAAACTACAGGCTTATCTGGAACGATATTCCCCCCCTCCCATTCCTGTGTCCCGCTTTAAGGCCATAGCAGAGGGCCTGTTGTCCACAGGGGAAAAAATTCTGAGACTTAACCCCAACGTGAGAGGCATCATCATCAGCTCACTCATTAGATGCCATTGGGCTAAGGGGAATAGGCATAGCCCCTCAGAGAGGGCAGCCATCCATTTCAACTCGGCGGTTGAGTCTATCAACGCTTATCTCTTGGATCTCACATTTAGAAGGAATATTTTCCTCCCCCCAACACACCAAGAATAACATTCTTAATCAATGTGCCATTATGGGACTCTTCTCAGTACACTCAATGGTTGGATACACCAGATCCAGTACACCTGAATGACGAAGGTGAGGGTAGATTGATCGCAGGATGGGTGGCCATGGCTGAGATAGCCATGGGCCTCTAGACAGGACCTCCTCCCTCACACATGTGTTTATGGTGCAATGTAAAAAATCTGATATTAACATTCCCCCAATCGGCCTAGAGGAGCGCAATGACGAAAACCCATACAAAATCTTTAACAGAAGAAAATGGGAAGTGGTAATAATAATCCTTTTAGCCCTTGGTCTTGATGAAAATAGAAGTACCCAGAATAAAAAATCAAAATGCTAACTTAATGGACGGCCTGAGAGTAAAGGGCAAACAATTAAAGCAAACATTTATTTTTGTGAAATTTTACATTTTTGTAAACATGCATCATTAGATAACCCCTGAAACAGTCAAAAAGACAATACGTAGTGATATGAACAATATAGATGTCAATATCCGTATTCTAATTGCAACAAATGCTGCAGGCATGGGGATCAATTTTGCAGGCGTGAATGATGTAGTGAATTATGGCCACCTTCTGACATGGATACTTACTTACAGCAGATCAGAAGAGCTTGAAGAACTAGCAGTCAAGGTCATACTCTTATGTACTTCCCCGCCCAAATGCGTAACTTAGATGCCGATATGATTTGCTATTTAGGAGACACTGAATGTCATATGGAGAACATCTTGGAGTGTTTACAATTCCAAAAAGTCAGATATGACACCACATAAATGTTGCGACATTTGCACAATAGACTGCCATTGTAGTTGAAATTCAGATGCATCATGCATCATCTGCAATGCAACAGAGAGAGATGCTATAAGTATAAGAATGTAAAAAGCCATTTATCCCTACATTAGACAATCCTTGTAGATTTTTTTTCATAAATTATTTCATTTTTGTTCACATTATAATTCAATTATAATTTAAACATATTGTAATCTGAAAAAGTATGCACTTTAGAATGTTAACTTAAATTAATATTTTGTATCATTAGGTGATCCAGTACATATATATATATATTTGTATTATTTGTAACTATTATTTGAGTTATTTGTTTTGCGTTACATGTGTGTGGTATGAACAGAAGCAAAACAATTTAGCATTCATCCCTCATTCATAAAGAGCAAGCACCTTGCAGCAATGTTTGACTCCTTTTTTAGACCCCATCTTGATTGTTATGATATAATCTATCACTGTGGTAAAAAAACAACTCTTGATTAACTTGAAAGAGATCAATACCAAGCAGCATGTATTATTACTGGGGTGATCCACGGATCAAATTCTGATCAGTGCTAAAATTATTAAATTGGCAAAACCTCATTGATCGACGAAAGTCTCACATTGCTGCTTTTATGTTCAAACTGTCAAAAGGTCTCATGCCAGCTTAAGTTAATGATATTTTCCAAAATTACACTGTGCAAATATAGCGACAAACAAGACAACTACTGCAACAAACAAAAAAAGCGGATACAAAAGGACAACCTCCTCCACAAGGGAAAGATGGTCTAATGAACAAGGTGATCAACAGAAAACTAATCGCCACTTCTCAGACGCATTAGCTGAGAAGTGAAGCAAATGTGTTGATTGATAATTGTCCCCTGAAGTAGAGATTACTTTAAAGAAATAGCTAAAAGGGCACTTTTAGATTCAGGCTCAGAAATTTCTAATATTTCAAGTTCATTTTTTGAACAACATTTTGAAGATATGAAATTACAAAGTGCACAGTTTTTCTATTGACTGAATCTCAAATTCAAAAAAAATTACACAACCACTGAATCAGGTTGGATTATGGCCATGTAATAAGGATTTTTGTTATTTCCAGTCAAGAAACGCCTGTGTGAGGATGAGACAGATATAAGCTACATGAAAGGAAGTTGAGACCAATCACTGCTACAAAACAAACAACAGATTCAGATCCAGCATCCAAAATCAAGGCAAATATATCACATCTTTCGGAAGAGTGAGACATCTTCAAAGTAATCGTTCACAGCTCTTCACAGATGATGACATAATCAAATGCAGCAGTGGTAAAATGTTTGGTAAAAGTGCAGCTGATAACAATAGTACGACAATAGATCAAGATAAACTAAATCTGTTGGAGGAAATACACCATAAGAAAAGTAAGAGATCGAAAATGTATATTAATTGAAAATTAATTGGTTTTATGTTTTTATTAGATGTAAACAAATTGGTTGCTAGGAAGTAGAGTTGAATGTAGGTCAATGCACATGCGCAGATGCACGCTATTTTCCATCCATTTCTTTATACAAAAGAAAGAAGTTCGTTATCTGAGTGAATCTGATAAGTGTTTGTTTTATATAATCTTTTTGATATATTTAGGTTCAATGATTATTGATCTATAGAATGAGAGCCTTGAATGGTACAAACAGAGGATGGGCAGTGTGACTGCACTTAATTTTGGATTGATCAACAAAATTGAAAGTAATGAAAGCCGGGCGATAAAAACAGCCAGGAACATGAAGCAAATGCTAAAACTGCTTATTTAAATGCAATGGGCCAGTGTGAGATATATGGTGATCCACTTGTTTTCAGATCATCTGGTATTGTGCGCCACCCGACAATTGGATACATACGAGGTAGCCCTGATGGATTTGTAAGCTGCAAATGCAAAACTTATCCAATGGAAATCAAATGTCCCTATCACGCTAGAGATATGTCCATAAATGAGGTGGTTGAATGTGGCAAACTAAAATTCATTAATAAGGAGCATAATCTTCTTATTTGTGAACATGATTACTTTGCCCATGTCCAGGGCATCATGGGTCTTACAAATGCAAATAATCTACATTTCATCGTTTGGACAACCAATTTTGGGATAATCTACTGCTAAATCTACAACTTTTTAAACCAAAAATAAAAGTATATCTGGAATTATGTTGGTTTTATGAGGACATCAACAATTTTTTGTTGTCAGAAACATGACGTTTAAATTTCCATAATTTGTTTCAATAATATCATAAGAAAATAATAGTTATAGAGGATAAAAATCCATAAAAAATTATTTATCTTGAAATTTTAAATGTTAATTTCAAAACAAATAAGCAACATTTCTAAATTTATATTATACATAGGACTATCAGCATTTTTTACATGTCAATTGTTTTTGCAATATAAAGCATTTTAACATATCAACTATTGCTCATTGTACTTTTATAATTATAGCTACTTATATGCCAGAATATAAATTTATGACAACATTGGATAGGGGGTCATATAAGTCTATTTTTCAGATGAATTAAGATTTATTTAGGCATGCCAAAAGAATACTCTTTGACATTCTTGGGCTATTTTGACACAATCATTTATCAAATACATATGCATCTAATGTCAACAATTTAATGATATCATCTGCATATCTGTATCATAATGTATTTATCCCAAATATATACAAGTAGATTCAGGTTATCTATTTTGTTACAGAGAAAAGATATAATATTATTAGGTAACTATAAACTCATGGTATTAGTAAGAAACTGTATAATATATAATAATCATGAGATAAAACCAATATCAGACCATTTCCTTTGATATTTTATTAACTCATACTGTAGATATCAAATACAGGGTTCATATCTGGAAGTCAGGGAAAAAGTTTTATTTTTCCAGAAACCTGGAACTCTGAAATTAGACAAAAAATGGCTAATAAAGTCAGGGAAATTTCTCTTTTTCAACTCTGAGAAGGTTCTATAAACAAAGCAAAAATAACATGGTAAAATTTTTAGGCTCTCTTCACTCGCCATATCTATGCATTTGTCATTTCTAATAACCTTAGTGACATTATTTAACTTAGTGATTGATTCTGCAGTCAGTTGTTTATATGAAACAAATGGTATCTTGCAGTATATCAGGGCACTATATATATGTCTGTCATTGGTAATATGTATGTTTATACAATGTTTAATTTCCAAAGTTGGCTTAATGGAGAGTTTTATCATTTTACTTAGTGATTGATTCTGCTGTCAGTTATTTATATGAAACAAAAATTGTCTTGCAGTATATCAAAGCACTATATATATGTCTTTCATTGGTAATATGTATGTAAAAACCTGAACACTCAAGGCTGGAGCATATGAGAGAAATCAGCTGCATGTATAATCCATAATTCAATATTGTTAAATGATACCTTAAAGATTACAAAAGGTGTGAAAACAGTCTGGACTTGTTAAAGATAATTAACTTTTAACTGATTAAATAAGGTAATTAGACTAGAGTTTAGCAGGAAGCATTGGTATTTGATTAAGTCATTAAAAATAACAACAGGATTAAAACAACACTTGGTATGATATTTAAGCTGACCATGAAACATTAAAAAGACTTTGAGGAGGATAATGGTTATTAACTATTTGCAGAACAATGACATGACAGTTTAGCAAGTGATTATGACTATTCTTTACTTGATCAGAAACTGTTAACAAGTTTGTCAATTGTCATAATATGATGTAAAGTGTATGTACAATTCAAACATGATCGTAACAACCACTGTATAAAAATTCTGTAGGGAACTCATTAGGATGGAGATAATTTTAGAATACATTATGAAAAATTTTTAAAGAAAATATTCGATACATGTGGATAAATGAGTCTTATGCTCGCATTCCAACTTTTGTTATGTTTTTTTCGCTTTTGTTGATTAACAGGCGAAACCTTGTGTTAACAAGAATTATTTTTAACCAAGAATCTATATAATATTTTCCTATTATCGATAAATTGAGATTTGTGATTACAATCCAATTCTTGTTTTTTCGTTTTGTTGATCAACGGGCGAAATCTTGTGCTCACAAGAGTATGCTTTTTCTTACTAGAATATCCTTCTTATTATTCATAAGTTGAGATTTGTGATTACAATCCAACCAGTTTTTTTGTCATTGTTGCTAAACAGGCGAAGCTTTGTGTTCACAAGAATTTGTGTTAATCAGAAATCACAGTATCTAATATAATCATGTGATAAGATAAAAAATTAAAAAATGTATTTTTAATTACAGTGTATTAAACATTAAATCAAGCTGTTCTACCAGGGGGTAAAGTGAACATGTTAAAACTAAAAATGCATGTGAAAATCAGAATAATTGGACATTCAATAGTAGAAAAGATGAAAAATTCAGATTATTCAATCAATTTAAAACTGGAACATGACTCCTACGTTGCAACATTGACTAGTATTCCTGGAGGCACAATTTTCGAGAAAAAATCTATTCGTACTCACTGCCACAACTGTCCAGAAGGATCTGAAGCTTATTTGGTTATTATACAGATGGGGGAAAATGAACTGTCTAATCTGGGACCAAAAATAGTAGCAAGGAACATTTTAACTTTCTCTCAGGAAAACCTTAACATTTATTCACATGTACGCAGACTGGTTATTGGTTCATTGATTAAAAGGTGCCATTCAAGATCAAAATATAAAATAAAAACTCAACAACAAGAAGACATGTACAATATTGATATCGCAGCATGTAATCATAGACTTCAGAAGGCCATCAGGAAGATCAATAACCCTAGGTTAAGATTCAAGAAACATAAAGATTTTGATAATTACAAATCCCAGTACCTATGTAACATAGATAGTTGGATTGATCCAGTGCACCTCAATAAACTAGGCAAACAACATTTACTTAGAAGTTGGAAGGGAATGCTACTAAACTACATTACAGACAGGACATCGGGAATTATTTAAGTGAGTGAGATTGGCATTGCTCGTTAAACCAATGCTACTTTAGGGAGTATAACTATGATAAGATATGATTGTTACTAAAATATCTAATATTGTCTTGTAATTAAGATAAAGTGCATGTAATTAAATAAGCCTAAAATGAAATCAATTTAAATATTTAAAAAATTGGTATTAATTGGTTATAATTTATTCCAAAAGGTAGATCAAGTGTCTAAGAATGGCAAAACCAGGGGGTGGTATGTCATCGAGAACTGAGGGCACCAACAGAGATATGGTTAGTAATAAATGAAGGTAAGCAACTAAAGTCATCACTATTATATTGCTCAAATGTATATCTTTAATGACTACTCCCTAAAAAAAACACATAGACCAAAAATACAAATAAATGGCTTTTAAGGGTGGAAAGTCACAATAACATAGTTTTGGGAAATTTATCTCATATTATTTAAAAACTATGCTTACTTCAATTCAGTAATGTTTCTCCTGCAATCTTGAACACAGTGTATGGTGTTATTTGATCATGATTAATAGCTGAATACAGTGGTTTCTTTATCTAGAAACTATTCATTGTGACTTATGAAGGCCATGATCAAGAGAGATGGGGGGGGGGAGTTACAAGGACTTACAAGTCGGTTTCTTTCAAGGTAATTTGGCTGAAACAATGCAACATAATTACTCTTCTGAGCTGCTCATTAATCTTGGCTTTGACAAATGGGAACAGTAATAGCAGACTGTTATCAGAACCTTGCAAATAAATCTTCTTTACACTTTTTCTAGTATTTTCAGAGAAAATAGATGATATGTGTAGATTTCACTTACTAACATTTACATTTTAAATAAAATTTAAAGGAAAGTAAATAAAAACATTTCAACTTAGTGTGCATTCGCTAGAAAATATTTCCTTCTAGCGCCAGGTTCAATTTACATATATTACATCACCGTCAGTTGTATGAAATAACGAACAGACCCGTTAGGCTGCCGGGAATCACGTGACTTGTCTTGAGTCACGTGACTTGGTATATGATTCTTGATCAAAATGGCAGCAAGTAAACTGGCGCAAATTTTATTTCTTGAAGAATTTATGGAAAGTTTGAGTAGTTCTAGCGAGAGTCCCGATTCGTCAGATGACGAGGAGATTGTAATGTTAATGGCTATACTCAGAAGGGATATTCCAAAAGTTATTACCTTCTGTGAGATTGTAAATCGCTTCGACAAATTGGAATTTCGTCGACATTTCCGGATTGAAAGGGGTGAGTTTGACATAACAGAAAAATTGAACAGTTTATCGCCCTAGTTAGCCTATAAATGAACCTGTAATTGTATATATTATTGTTATAAACATCCCCTCTGGGTCTACCAATCAGTAGTACATTTATCCCTGAGTATAGTCCAGATTTCTGTACATGTACCACTGGCGGATCTGGGGGGGGGGGGGGCTGGGGGCCCACCCCCCCCCCCACCTTGGGTAGGCCCAGAAAAAAAATTGGGGGCCCACTTTTCGGTTTTAGGGGCCCAAAATTTATTGGAATATTTTTATTAGACTTTGAAAATGCCCCCCCCCCCCCTTGTTGGTTTCTGGATCCCCCCATGTGTACCTGTAGATGCCAGTACGTATGCATAATGCACATTGTTGTGAAACATAGTTTTTCATTACTTTCAGAATCCTACAATGAACTATGCAGAAGGCTGGAACCTCACTTGTCAGCATGGCACGTACAGGCAGGTGAAGGTGGCAGGGGCCGCAGGCAACGTCTTTCAACAGAGAAGAAAGTTCTGATTGGATTATGGTATTTTGCCAATAAGGAAACTATTAGATCACTGGCTATAAAACTTGGTGTGGCAAATTTGAAAGTGCACGACATTATCCAGGAGTTTGTTGCCAGTGTGATGATCATCAAAGATGAAGTAATACATTGGCCCTCACAAGATGATATGAATGAGGCGGATGAGGCATTCCGTGCATTTAGAGGTACATGTTTCACATTTCACTACCATTGGCATTATGTTCTAGTCGATCCCCCTCAGTCATAATAAAGCACACAAACATGTATTTTTTGACAACTGCATCAGAACAAAAATGTACATTTCTAATTGATTAGACTATTTACATATACAGTAAAACCAGTTTTAGTGGAAGACCTTTGGTATCTCTAAAAGGTGTTCCACTAATAGATATTCATTTAACATTAAGTCAATTGGTCTTGGAACTCTGAAAAGTGTTCCACTTACAGATGTTTTCCACTTCTAGAGGTGTTCTACTTCACTTGTTTCACTGTATTGATTTTATTATGAAGTATTGTGAACTTTATTTTATAATTCATGAAACTTATTAGAAATTGTAATCCTTTTTATTCCAGGCATACCAGGTATAATAGGTGCCACAGATGGGACTCATACCCCAATTCCAAAACCCTCTGGGACAGGGGCAGATTACATCAATAGAAAGGGATTTTTCCATGTGACAAGTTCATTCTTGGCAATGCAGCATATCCCCTATCTGAGAAGCTTATCACACCTTATAGGGACACTGGCCATTTGACAAGAGCCCAGGAGAAGTTTAATTACCATCACAGTGCCTCAAGAATGGTGATTGAGCGCACCATTGGACATTTAAAGGAATGTTTCAGAAAGCTACAAGCCCTTGACTGTGATGTTTCAAGGGCAAGTGAATACATAATTACTTGCTGTGTACTCCACAACATTTGTATATCAATGGGGGAGATACTGACCGATGAAGAGGTATGCATGGATGAAGATTTCCCCCCTTTTGCAAACCACAATATTCAGAATAATAATGCAGCTATCAACCTAAGAGACAGACTTGCTGCCCAGTTTGCATGAAGTGGAGCTCTAACATTTAAAAAATTGAAAACGTCTATTATTTAACCTGTTAACAGGGTGTCCAAGTGGAAAGTACTTACTTAGTAAAATCTTTTGTGTACAAAATCACCAAAAACAGATTAACTTTTGTAATGGCCAAATATTTTATTGACAAGTGGGCGGAGTTTTCCCATGAACCAAATTTTTAGATAGAGGCATCTCATTGGCCAACTGCCAAAACTTCAACTTTGCATAAATAATCCATGTTCCTGGGGCCGGGGCTATGTTGTTGCTGGTTTTCCCATCCAGTCTTACTTATTAGAGCTACACCTCGTCGAGTCTGGACATGAGAGTAAATGCATTTCGTTTCTATCTTCCACTTGTTGGACTGTTTGGATTTTTATTAGGCTAACCTGCGATCATCTTTATTTCTGTTTGAACAATAATCTTGGAGAACTCAGCTTATTTATAAGGCTACAACACTCACAGAAACAGTACTATACAGGCAGTTCTATCAAGGACTCCGTTGACGCTATGGCAACACCAAACAAACAGAAAACTAGCACTTCAACGGAAGATGAAAAAGTTGGGATCTGCGGATACTTCAACGATGTGTCCCCATTAAAGACATCAAGGAAAAACAATGTCTATTTTAACGCAAAGTATCAAACTGGGATATCAGATGAAGATGACTTAAATGTTGTATGTTTCGACAAGACTTAATACACAGAGCTTAAAAGTTTACACGAGAGACAAATCCAATGTCGTCTTCAGAATGCCATGACAATACCTAGTTTCTCTGGAATTAAACCAGATATCAAAATTACAGGAGAGACTCGCATAACTCAGACAGAATTGAAGTTCCCATTCAAGCTTAAAGCGCAACCCGGGACGACTTCGAAGACAGACGTAAAAATGATCGTGGAGACGGAAATGATCGACACGAATGATATGGTAAGTATGATTCAAAATAATTACGCCTAACGTCACCTTGCCCCAAAGTTACAAACCCAGGGAGTAAGGAGGTCAATATTAGCCCATGTCGCCAATTGGTTATCACACTCTATTCCATTATTATTGAATTACCGTATTCTCTGTAATTACCGCCCACTCTCTAATAAGCGCCCACCCCGCTTCACAAAGTTCAAGAAACATCGAGGAATCAACAAGAATTGAAGAATATATCAGGAAAAAAATATTTCTCAAAATCCAGGAGCGGGCGATAATAGAGTACTTACCCTAAAACTGCTGTAAACACGACGCGTTTTGTAATTCTATGCATCCTCTCGATACATATCTATCGATGGGTGCTTCCCACACCATACCATGCTAATATTGTCTCCAAATATTCCATAATGAATGAAGGAATTGTTCTTTATCGGCATTCAGAAATTTCAAAAGCTACTGGGCAGATGTTCTGCGCATGTCAAGGTCATGAACTTTCTGGTTTCTTTTTAATGTTTCTCGACTTTTGCACGAATAATGATGATCTCTCATCAAATTAGAAATAATGTATAACTTTAGATCGATATCCAGCAGTCTCTAGTGGAAATATTGAAGGTAATCGGCGATAATGACAAAGTGGGCGTGCCGGAAATAAATTAGACATAGACAGGTCTTCAACCACTATCAATATTGTCTAAGCGATCTTTACCGTATTCTCTCCAATAACAGCACTTGTCATATTATTATAAAAATATGTTGAAGAAAATGCATTCTTGTCAAGAAAAATTGCCATACATGAAATTCCTCGGGATTTCTGATTTCTTTCATACATGGGCGCTTATTAGAATGGTCTAAATAATGTATTTTCAATTTTCTAAACGCCCTGGGCGCTAATTACAGAGAATACGGTATCTGAATTTTGACATGAAGTGTATAAACTGCAACCAGGCCTCTATTGTGTTTTGAGTAAAGTAGCCCTTATCAAACTTCTTTTGTTATGAACATCTTGTGAGTCAGGAGCCTGGTTGTAGTTTGACATTCTTGGGCTATTTTGACACAATCATTTATCAAATACATATGCATCTAATGTCAACAATTTAATGATATCATCTGCATATCTGTATCATAATGTATTTATCCCAAATATATACAAGTAGATTCAGGTTATCTATTTTGTTACAGAGAAAAGATATAATATTATTAGGTAACTATAAACTCATGGTATTAGTAAGAAACTGTATAATATATAATAATCATGAGATAAAACCAATGAGAAAATACGTAAATAAAGTGAATACAAAACTAAAGCCTAAACATGATGTCAACGGTGGGAATCATAATTTTGCACACTTTTCAACATTTACAATAGCAAGAAAGACGTTGCTCTTAGCAAACAAGCCATATTTCAAGTTAAAGTCAAACATCATACAGAAAGTACATTATGAACATAATACTGATTATTAAATAATCATAGAATATACTAAAAGTCTATTAGATGTTGAAAAACATGTTGAAATAATGCATAGTCAAAACATAGATGTATGATCTATAACAGATAAGTACGAAAACAATAAGCTAGCCTAGTCCTAGCACACATCCTCTGATCCTATTTTATTAAAACAATCTTGTTTCTTTTCACATTAGATTGTAATATGAGATATATAGGTTCTAATTTCTTATGAGAGCTTGCTTTTCTTGCTGGCTCTCTTTAAAGTTTTTAGATCTTCTCTTTGATACATAGATTTAAAAAATCTATTTCAGAGTTGGATAACGAAATGAAACTGGCTATAGTAGGTAGCAGTTTGGTTGAAAATGTTAATAAAGCTAATCATAAATGGAAATTTGAGTCTAAAACAAAAAAACATGGCACTTTAAGCCAGGAGGTCATATTGATAACTTAGATAATTCCAAAGTGAATTTCAAAACATGAAGAACTAACATTGTATTTTTGCAAACTGCGGGTAAGGATTGTTCCGACGCAGGAAAAGATTACACTGAATCAGTACATTCTCATATTTCAACAATAACAGAAAACTATTTGAAAGCCATTTCTATCGTTCAAGAAAACCTTATGGAGAGAAATGTAATTTTAATAGGGAAAATTCCAAATACTAGATCTAAGCATTGGAAGCATTTGAAGAACAAGGGTGATAGTGAATGTACAAATATAATTATAAATGGCGTTAACAAAGAACTTTATCAAAGCAAAATTTACATGACTATATATTTTGGCGATCACAAGGATTAGAGGATGTGGTAAAAATGGACTTTTGAAAAATGATGGTACCCATTTAAATTGTAAAGGCAATCAAATACGCTTTTATTCATGCATTGGGTGTATAAGATAGTTAAGTAAGTATCTGATTGTTTTTAATGTTGAATACAAATAACATATAGCAACAGTATTATCAATACAATTTAACTTAAGTTGATAACTTAAATGTTAAAATTAAAGTAAAGTGTCACAGGCATGTAATTAAAGTACGATATTTAATAATTAAAGGAGCATTGAGTCTCAAACCCCAACAAAAACATAAAAAATTGACAAAACATGAATTGTTATCAATTATTGGCTTTTGAGCCATTGTCGTTACATTAAACCATTCGGCAGCGCTTTCACTAGAAGGTTAAATCACTTATCAAAGAAGCTCAAAAACTACACTGAAAAAAAAAGATTATCTTATGAAGTCAAACAAGATCTGATAATATGGGATTCTTTTTTTCTCAACAGAAGAAAAATTTTGAATTGTTCACAGATTCTTCTCAATCAGTTGGCTTCGGGGTCTGTTTTAGTTGTCTTTATTCAACAAATTCATATACCATAATACAAAAATATGCTGCCAAGCGCCAATGGCATTACTGGCTAGCATTTATTAATTTCATCTTTAGTAAAATATCATAAAATAAAACATAGATGTGTGTGCTTAATTGCATAATTTATCCTGGAGTTTGCCACATTCTACCCAAGACAGAAGCACTTTAAGTTTCTTGATGCATTATAAAATTGATGAATTTTTTCTTTAAAATACAATCTTTTTCTAATGACAGGTTGTTTTCAAACAATAATGCCTTAATTCTATCCTCTTGTCTCCGGGGTAACAGGTTCTCAAGGTTATGCTGCTCAAGGGACTCAATAAACTCATGTCGTCTTGTAGAAAGGCGCTGAGAGTTAAAGATGAAATGCTTAGGCGTTTCACTCTCACCACATATACAAAGGTTATCAGAAATGCCAGTAAAATTATGCGCAAATTTTTGAGATTTGAAGTAAAGACCACATCTTATTCGGTTTAAAATGATTTCCTGTTTACGAGATAGGTTGAGTTTGGATGTGGTGTTAAAATTTTGAAAATCTTTTGTTTTCTTCCTTACCGTGGTTTTAAATATTGAAATTCTGGGTATTACCCTCTCCTCTTCACTTAGTTTGTTCCATTGGTTTATTAGTCTCAACACAGGGGATTTCCTTAGCCGGGCACTCGCCTTGACTGGAATTTTGAAGGGTTGGTGAGATCTGAGATCTCTGACTTTTTCATTTTTGTATTTGTCAAAAAGTTCAATTATGTAATCAGGTGATAAGCCTCTACATATTTTATACATAATAACTAGATTTTTGTCATTTCTTCTCATTTCGAGAGTTTTCCATTTTACGCAGTCCAGGGTTTTGAGGGTACACAAGCCGTGCAGGGCTCCTGAACATATTATCGCAGCTTTGTAATGAAGTTTGTCAAGTTTAGCAAGATTTTGAAGTGTGCTACCTCCATAGATGGAGCTGCAGTAGTCCATATGTGAAAGGATATAAGCTTTATAAATAGTTTCGAGATGTTTAGAGTTAATTTTATGGCTTAGTGCTTGTAAAGGGTTAAGTTGCTTTTGAACTTTACTTGCTAGTTCATTTATATGTATATCAAACTTTAGCCTGTTGTCGAAAGTGAAGCCTAGGTGTTTGTGGGATGTTTTATAGGGAATTTGAGTCCCTTCAAAGAAAAGGGGCATGGGGTCAAAATTATCTATGTGCTTTGGTTGAAAAATCATATGCGCACTTTTTGAGGCCTTGAATTTTAAGTGCCATTTAGCAGACCACTCTTCAAGAATGTTAAGGTCATGTTGGAGGTCAAGAGTTTGATTTAAGGCTGTGTCAAAAGAAGCATATGCTGAGGTGTCGTCGGCG